TAAAATCATTCTCTCAACCTTTTAGTTGTGTGTTGTTATGTCTCTTAAGTGGATTAGTCCATTGTGTGGAATAGGTAACAGGCAGTGAATTAACAGTGCAACAGACCGTAAACTATGTTGTTATAAGCTGTAGGGGTAGTGGCATGTAGGGGTAATGGGGGGGGGGGGGGTGTTACCATTACTACTGACGTCAGTTACAGCAATTCAATGTACCTACTAAATACACTGGTATACACACGGTGAACCCTAATGACCCTTCTTTAACACCTTTCAGACTCATCTTTGGACAAATGGATTGATTTAGATTTAGCCACATGTTCCTATCTAGTTAAATGGATAGCCTCATTTCTATCTAACAGATCCCAATATGTCAAACTGAAAAGTGCTTGTTTTCAGACTGTATCTGTTAAAATAGGTTCTCTACTAGGATGTGTATTGTCTCCAATACTTTTCACTCTGTACACTAATGACAGTGTAAGTTCTCGACTGTCCTAGGTTCAAGTTCGCCGATGATACAGCCATCAGCAGTCTACTCTTTGACAATGAGTACACATACACAGAAGAAATAAATGCTTTCATTAAGTGGTGTAATGAAAACATTTTGGAACTTAATGAGTCAAAAACAAAGGAAATTAGTTTTGATTTCCGAAGAAATACATTAGCAAATAATCTTGTCATTATCATTGGTGATGCCGTCGAAGTAGTTAGCAGTTATCTTGGAACTATTATTGACAATGTATTAAATTTCTCTCAAAATAACGATGGCATTTACAGTAGGTGTCAGCAGTCTCGCTGCCTTCATGTCCTCAGCAAACTTCGATCTTTTCACGTTGACTCAACTTGTATTACTTTTCTATAAAATTACAATCCATCCTCCTGTTCTCTATTCAGTGTTGGTTCGTCTCCCTTTCACTCAGTAATAAAAAGAAATTAAACCAGATTATAAAACAAGGACAGAACTTCACTAATCGTATCTGTAAAAGAATAGATAAATTTCATGGAGGAAAGGCTCTAAATTTAGCTACAAATAGCATTACTGATCCCTCTCATGTCATACATGAATGTTATGAACTTTCAACCTCTGGCCGTCAATATAATGTACCGACGTGCAAATCCAAGCGTCATAAAATGTCTTTTGTACCATTGTCAATTTCTTTGTTGAGTAACTCTTAATGTTCTCCAATGTCATGCTTTTGTACATTTGTAGGTAATTATGATCACGTTTTTATGTATTTATTTGATATACATGTATTTATGCTCAATCAGATGTCTACAAATTCCCCCACGGACAATAGAGAATCATCTTTATCTTATCTTATATAACTTATCTTATCTTCCCTTCATATGGCCGTATTGTTATTACGTCAATTGCAACAATTCAATATACCTACTGAATAAAGTTTGTCGGGTTTGTGTTGATTCCATCACATCGCTTGCTTTGTAGTGACATAAAAATATACATAGAAACCTGCATACATTTGTAATATAGAAGAAAAACATTAGTTATATATTATCAGTTATGTCACGCATTTCCATCGGAAAGTTAAAACTGTTACATAGACCTAGTCTTTTACTTGGACTTCGTCTTGTTCACACAAAGATGTCAGTAATAACATGGATAATAATTACTGGTTAGTTCATTCCTGACTGGATGGGCATGATGGTCTGAGTGAGTGAGGGAGTTAATATTTATCCTCACATCGGCAATATTTCAGCCATATTGTGACGAGAACAAATAATGATTACATGATGGTCTGAGTGAGTGAGGGAGTTAATATTTATCCTCACATCGGCAATATTTCAGCCATATTGTGACGAGAACAAATAATGATTACATGATGGTCTGAGTGAGTGAGGGAGTTAATATTTATCCTCACATCGGCAATATTTCAGCCATATTGTGACGAGAACAAATAATGATTACATGATGGTCTGAGTGAGTGAGGGAGTTAATATTTATCCTCACATCGGCAATATTTCAGCCATATTGTGACGAGAACAAATAATGATTACATGATGGTCTGAGTGAGTGAGGGAGTTAATATTTATCCTCACATCGGCAATATTTCAGCCATATTGTGACGAGAACAAATAATGATTACATGATGGTCTGAGTGAGTGAGGGAGTTAATATTTATCCTCACATAGGCAATATTTCAGCCATATCGTGACGAGAACAAATAATGATTACATGATGGTCTGAGTGAGTGAGGGAGTTAATATTTATCCTCACATCGGCAATATTTCAGCCATATCGTGACGCGAACCATTAATGATTACATGATGGTCTGAACTACAGCCTGCAAGGTTGGTGCAACCGGTGGCTATCACTTGAACCACGTTGTCAAGGTAATACTCGGACCAGGTTGTTGTCTTGTTGCCATGGAGAGTTCATAACAATTGTAATAATAATACATGCATGACGTGATACGTGTCAATTTCCAGATTTAGCTTTATTTGATTTAAGTTGGGGCAGTAATCAGTTCTGAACGTAAAATGCATTAGAGTCAAACCAACAAACAACAATGAAATATTAAAAATCAACAATTGTAATATGAATAAGTAATTTATCACTATATTTCTTTTTGATCTGGGTACAGCATTTCATGCACAGGTGGGCATGTCTGTAATGTATAAAGCAAGTCAAATACAACCATTATCTATATAAGTAGATTGTGGCAAGACGACCAAAATGAGTCTACAGCGTCATATTTGCAGCGAGAATAGGCATTAAATTTATGTAATTATTGGTAATTGTAATTTAATTTCGGTTTCAGACCAGCTAGAGAAGGTAAAATGTTTGCTACTTTTCTAGAATAGATGAATTCTTTCGTAAAAATACAAATGAAATTGTGAGTAATCCAAGAGTAATTGTTTAAGGGTTATATTTCAAATAGTAGATCTTGCCACAGCCTTTTGACAAATTTGCATTCATATAGTAGATGAATTATCGATTCTATTACAACATCACGAAATGTATAAAGTGGTGATTCTATTATTTTGTATTTGTGTAAATTTATATTTGTTGTGAGAATTCTATGGAGCATATGGTATTGAAGCAACCTGTGCATAGCACTATCAGAATGAATAATCGATATATGAAGCAGAGGCATTCTATAGGGTAAACCGCTATTCATACAAGCTTAGCCATTACGTGCAAGGTACAGGTCCTAAATACTTACAAACTGTACACCCCAAACAGTGTTTATCACCAAGTAACAATATCTATACCCTGACCTAACCTTCACCCCGCCACAATGACTGTCATTGTAAACTTACGATGTGACATGTCGTGGTCTGCTGTAGGCTTCTAAGTACGCCAACAAAGTGTGTCCATTTGGAAAGTAGTCGTGACGTTGCAGTTTGAGCCGTGTCGGTCTTGGTGGTAGATACAAAGTGGGTTTACTAAGTGCAAAGATTAATGAAAGTTAAAGGTATTTTGGTTGCGAAGATTTTAGCGTAACCATGGTGAACACTAACGGTTTTTAACGTCTGATAGTGAAGGTATTCATGATAGATTTTGTAAATTAATGTTATCGTAAAATAGAGGTGCTCCAATGTTGTTGGCTTGTGGTATTTTAGGTAGACCTAATGTTATCCTTAAATAGAGGTACTCCAATGTTGTTGGCTTGTGGTATTTTAGGCAGACCTAATGTTATCGTTAAATAGAGGTACTCCAATGTTGTTGGCTCGTGGTATTTTAGGAAGACCTAATATTGAAGGTTTTTCACCATGTCAAAATAATAAAGTTTTGGTTAAGGTTACTGTCGCAAGCCGGAAATGTGATTTTGAAGCAGTCCTACAATTTTTAATATGGATACGCTGAAAATGGCAAGTGTTGTTGGGCATTAAACCTTAAATCATTATTATTCAGTTATGGTTTTGGTGAAGTTTGGTTACAATAAGGTGTAGGAAATAGTGTTTTACTTATTTTTCAGTTTGAAGAAAGGTGTGTTGATATACAGCAGCAATGCTGAAGTGCAGATTTATGGGGTTTCGCGAAGTTGAATTTTTACAGAACTTTATAATCAGTTTAGTTAGTCAAATATACTCGGCACTGTAACAATGAAAGTTTACATTACAAATTTCATCCGACTTTGTTGTTCAAATCATGAGTTATTCATTGAATCGGACAGGAGGTGGAATATTCCCAGATCAGAAAGATTAGGTCCATTCTGTATTGTCCCAAACATTGAACCCGAGTACCAGTTTTGTATAAAGTGCCCATTTTATCATAACTTAAGATATACACTTCTTCCAAAATATAACTGGGAATACTCAACTTCGGAAAAGAAGCCAGCATTATTTATCTCATTATAGTGGCAGTCCCGGTATTACGTGGAGGTTACACTTTTTAGTGGCAATCCTGGTGTTACGTAGTGTTTACACTTTATAGTGGCAGTTCCGGTATTACGTGGAGGTTACACATTATAGTGGGAGTGTTGATGTTACGTGGAGGTGACAGATTATAGTGGCAGTCCTGGTGTTATGTGGAGTTTACACATTATAGTGGCAGTCCTGGTGTTACGTGGAGATTACACATTATAGTGGCAGTCCTTGTGTTACGTGGAGGTGGTGACACATTATAGTGGCAGTCCTGGTGTTACGTGGAGGTTATATATTAGAGTGGCAGTCCTGGTGTTATGTGGAGATTACACATTTTAGTGGCAGTCCTTGTGTTATGTGGAGGTTACACATTATAGTCGTAGTCCTGGTGTTATGTTGAGGTTACACACCATAGTGGCAGTCCTAGTGTTACGTGGAGGTTACACATTAAAGTTGCAGTGCTGGTATTACGTGGAGGTTACACATTATAGTTGCAGTCCTTGTGTTACGTGGAGGTGGTGACACATTATAGTGGCAGTCCTGGTGTTACGTGGAGATTACACATTATAGTGGCAGTCCTTGTGTTACGTGGAGGTTACACTTTATAGTGGTAGTCCTTGTGTTACGTGGAGGTTACACACTATAGTGGCAGTCCTGGTGTTACGTGGAGGTTACACATTATAGTGGCAGTCCTTGTGTTACGTGGAGGTTACACTTTATAGTGGCAGTCCTGGTGTTACGTGGAGGTTACACTTTATAGTGGCAGTCCTGGTGTTACGTTGGAGGTTACACACTATAGTAGCAGTCCTGCAGTGGAGATTACACATTATAGTGGCAGTCCTTGTGTTACGTGGCAGTCCTGTGGTAGTTACGTGTTACGTTGAGGTTACACAGTCCTAGTGTTACGTGGAGATTACACACTATGTTAGTGGCAGTCCTGGTGTTATGTGGAGTTTGCACAGTATATTGGCAGTCCTGGTGATACGTGGAGATTACACTTTATAGTGGCAGTCCTGGTGCTAGGTGGAGGTTACAAATTATAGTGGCAGTCCTGGTGTTACGTGGAGGTTACACTTTATGAGTGGCAGTCCTTGTGTTACGTGGAGGTTACACGTTATAGCGATAGTCCTGGTGTTACGTGGAGGTTACATATTATAATGGCAGTCCTGGTGTTAGGTGGAGGTTACACATTAAAGTGGGATTTCCTTGTATTACGTGGAGGTTACACATTATAATGGGAGTCCCGGTATTACGTGGAGGTTACACACTATAGTGGGAGTGCCGGTGTTACGTGGTGGTGACAGATTATAATGGCAGTCCTGGTGTTACCTTGCGGGCAATATTCCACACGTTCTCAGCATTATTCACAGTCTCTGAATCACCTATAATCCTGATATTGTTACGACTGAATACTGTTCCGTAATGCTCCGTTTTATGGAGCCACAATTTTCTCGTCTACCGTGGATTCAAATCTGCTACTTTCTTTTCATGCTGCTTGTTGAAAATATGAGTAGCACACGAACTGTGACTTTGTATATATCGACAAGCCCTTTTGAGAATATTTGGATTTCACCAGTGATATTTTACGATCGCAATCAATTTTCCTGTTTTTACTTTATAAACGGTTACTTTATGGATATCCCACCAAATTGATGAAAACGTAGCCGGGACGAGATCTGGGCATCTCCCTATTTTGACAGTAAAATACAGTGTGATGTGTCTTTTCCCTAATCTGTGATATCTCTTCCTTCAGAGTGAGTATTGTCTTACCTATGACAGAGAGAGAGTCTGTATTTCCTCCAGACGATCATCCGAAGATCAAACATATTATATACATGTAGATACAAGAAAGGGGGCAAAGTTACAAAATTGATATAAATGTATATACAATTATTTTAATCAAGATGAATACCTAAAGCTACAATTTACATAAGAACAATCATGTATATGTGTATACAATTAATTTATACAAGAAACTTCCGACAGTGGACATTCATCATTATAAATCTGCAGAGATCAATCAGTGTAACATTGTAGGAGATGTCGTCTTATTCGGTAAATGTATAAAGAAAATCGTAAAATGATTGTTTCCCATGTCCCTTGAACCCTAGCATCAGCTGTTCTGAAGTATCCTAGGATGACTTTCAAACTGACCTTCAAAGGATTGGGCTGTTTGAAAACTTAAATCAAATCAGTAAACAATTGGACAGTTTTATATCACGTACAGGGAGGATCAAGAAAAAACATTGACAATGTTCCTCATGGTGTTTGTTTCTGTAAGTTGTATGTGCCATGTAAAAAACGTTTCTGGAACTGAAACAGCTAAAATACTCTCTTTTGCAATCAGTGTGGGCTTTCGAAGTTTTCGTTCATAGAATAATCCTTTGAAAGGTTTCGGCAGTTTTTGTATCAGCGACTTCTCGTTTATGGTGTCCATACCATTCAGGGTAATCTTCAGCTACATGGTCTGACCTATTTGGGTTAGGCATACGTATGTCCGATAGCTTTGCCCATGTTTGAGAAGTGAATGATTGTAACTGTATTCCATGTGCTTTAAGACGTAACAACCCTTCACGGTTTCTGATGTGCTCGTCTGGTGTAATGTAGTATGGTCTCGGTCCATTCTCGTTCCAAAATATCTTGTATATACACACAAAATGAATGTGCAACGTGACGTTGCATCCAGGGTAAAACACCTTTAGTCTGCCCAGAAACTCGCTAATGGGTTCAGCGCAGTTTCCACATGGGCTGTAGTTCTGAAATATTTCAATTTTGGTAGTTCCTGATTTACTTAATTTATCTCCTAATGTTCCACTATTAAGGTCTTGATTTAACTTTTGCATAAGTTTGTCTTCTGCATGTCGACAACGTCCCCTCCTTCTCCTGCTTGACTGGAATACTTCTCCCTTTTCACTTCCTACGACACACACAGCTACACCCCTTCTTGGACGCGGAAACAGAGGGCACCCAGTCGCCCAAAATATCCGTAGAATTCTGTCATCGGGTAGTACTTTCATTTCTTCACTGGACTCCATCTATAATGTAACTAACATGTGTAACGTTTAGTTTCTGTTTGAAAGGCTACACAAATATAGTGAGTGAGTGAGTGAGTTAGTGAGTTAGTGAGTGATCTAGAATGTATATTTGCAAATTGCATATACATGGCATCTATCAGTTGACTGATAAATATATACTTTAGGATGGGTTCACTTCTAGGTTGATATGTGAAGGTTGGCACCTGGTTGCATGGTCCTGGATTATGTTGGGAATTAAACCCCATTCTGTTTTGTGAAATACTCTGGACTTATTCACCATAACATCCTCGTTTGGAGTTGAAGTAGAACGTCATAACGTCGTGAGACAGCCGCTAATGGCGCTCAGAACAACACACACACGGACAAACCACTCAAATAGACATGAGCGAGAAACGTGCAGTGACGTGTTACAGAGGAGGATAGAAGGATGGCGATGTCCCTTCTACAGTGACGGTATGGTGGCGAATCAGACCAGGTTGTTTATTGGTTTTAACTCAGGTATCATACTGTTAATTAAGAATGTTTAGTCTGTCTCTCCAAATAAGTACCTACACAAGTTCAATTTACCATTTTCCGTGCCTTTGTACCAATTTCAACCAAACGTTATTATGTAACCGGAATCCTCATGGCTGCTGCAACCTTTGTGATGCGAACGTATCCGCCCCGTTCCACTGACACTGACTATCTGGTGACTGTCATGATATTACCACCTATTGGTAGAGGCTGCTGCGGTTAGAATGTCAACGAAGGTTCACACAAATACCATATTCTGAAATTATAATAGATATAATACTAACTTGATGCTTGCAGGAACACAGCCGGTGTATAAGAAGTTGACGCCACACTGTCTACACGTATACCTTGTCACTACCCACTGCTGCCTTCATAGCAATCCTGATCTAACCTTACATGTCAGTGGAGATCCAAGTATTCCTGGTTTGACGGGTATGTCAGAGAGTAAACTATTTTCCTTTTCTCATTCTGTCTTAGTTAAACTTTTGCCTTTAATAGACGTGTGATAGGCAAACAACGGTGACATACACCACTAGCTGCGTGTCACGTCATGTTTACATCGCCATATTGGCTGTCGTGGCCGGGTATATTTATAACTAGAAACAGCTTTCGTGGAAACTAATGTTGCCACGCCTAGCCGTCTATTGATTGTATCAATGCGAGCTGACACCTATTTGTTTGTATGACATGGGTTGGTCTGCAATGTGTAATCTGTACATTTGTTGGCCCATTCTGATTGAGGTGTTGTATCTTCACGACATTGATGTCTGGCTGTGTCAAATGAAATCGTGTCTCAATATAATCTTAACAAGGGCTAAATGCCACACCTCTACACAACATTGTCGCTGTTGACGTCAACGCTGGTGATTCTTATGCTGGAAAGTCTAAGTAGTTGTTCCCTACACGTAATGTTGTGTGCAATAAACCTGTCAAGCCTGGACGCGATCTCTTTTGTTAGTGGTTAAAGCGTTCGCTCGTCACGCCGAAGGCCCGGGTTCGAATCCCCACATGGGTACAGTGTGAGAAGCCCATTTCTGGTGTCCCCCGTCGTGATGTTGCTGGAATATTGCTAAAGGCGCCGTAAAACCCAACTCACTCACTCACTCACTCTCTGGTTAGGTCATAGGATGAAAATATTGTATAATGGTCTTTCATGGGACACAAACATACTCTGACTAATTAAGAGTGGAGAGTAATATATGATCCCCGATCATCACCACTACTATTTCATTTTGTATCGTCATTGCACTGTCACTGAATGTAGTACTCGTTCGTGTAATGGCGGTGAACGTAATTTGCAGTAATTTGTCTTGAATTATGAACCTAGTTAATTATATATAGCATTTGATGTTGCCTTGTTTTGTTTCACATTGAAAACGTGTGTCAAGGTTACATAAGATGATACGGAGAGTGAGTGATAAATACGTTACTGCTCGCGTCCCCATTAAATATCGCAATAAATCCATTTCGACATTCACTCGTAGTAAAACAACGATATGTAACGAGGAGTATTGTTGGGAAACTAGTTAGCTCGAGTGTAGAAACTCCATCGACGCTGCCTGCACAAACCATTCTTCAAAGATAGGTATATTGCTTCAAAGTAGAAGTAAGACGGCAGCACTTTGTCCAGCGGTCAAATTCTACAACTTCAGTGTACAATAACAGCGTGCCCAGATTGCGAGGAACATTCTATCTCATGGCACAACATCGTGGAGTGGACCAATCTATGTCATCGTATCTGGACCATGTGGATCATTGTATGTTACCGAGTCTAGATGGTGTGGACCATGTATCTCATCGTATCTGGATGGTGTGGAGCATTGTATCTCATCGTATCTAGATGGTGTGCACCATTGTATGTCATCGTATCTAGATGGTGTGGACCACTGTATGTCATCGTGTCTAGATGGTGTGCACCATTGTATGTCATCGTGTCTAGATGGTGTGGACCACTGTATGTCATCGTATCTGGATGGTGTGGACCACTGTATGTCATCGTATCTAGATGGTGTGGACCATTGTATGTCATCGTGTCTAGATGGTGTGGACCATTGTATGTCATCGTATCTAGATGGTGTGGACCATTGTATGTCATCGTATCTAGATGGTGTGGACCATTGTATGTCATCGTATCTAGGTGAAGTGGACCATTGTATGTCATTGTATGTCATCTCTAGATGGTGTGGACCATTGTATGTCATCGTATCTAGATGGTGTGGACCATTGTATGTCATCGTATCTAGATGGTGTGGACCATTGTATGTCATCGTATCTAGATGGTGTGGACCATTGTATGTCATCGTATCTAGATGGTGTGGACCATTGTATGTCATCGTATCTAGATGGTGTGGACCATTGTATGTCATCGTATCTAGATGGTGTGGACCATTGTATGTCATCGTATCTAGATGGTGTGGACCATTGTATGTCATCGTATCTAGATGGTGTGGACCATTGTATGTCATCGTATCTAGATGGTGTGGACCATTGTATGTCATCGTATCTAGATGGTGTGGACCATTGTATGTCATCGTCATCTCTAGATGGTGTGGACCATTGTATGTCATCGTATCTAGATGGTGTGGACCATTGTATGTCATCGTATCTAGATGGTGTGGACCATTGTATGTCATCGTATCTAGATGGTGTGGACCATTGTATGTCATCGTATCTAGATGGTGTGGACCATTGTATGTCATGTGTATCTAGATGGTGTGGACCATTGTATGTCATCGTATCTAGATGGTGTGGACCATTGTATGTCATTATCTAGATGGTCTGTGATGGATGGTGGACCATTGTATGTCATCGTATCTAGATGGTGTGGACCATTGTATGTCATCGTATCTAGATGGTGTGGACCATTGTATGTCATCGTATCTAGATGGTGTGGACCATTGTATGTCATCGTATCTAGATGGTGTGGACCATTGTATGTCATCGTATCTAGATGGTGTGGACCATTGTATGTCATTGTATCTAGATGGTGTGGACCATTGTATGTCATCGTATCTAGATGGTGTGGACCATTGTATGTCATCGTATCTAGATGATGTGGACCATTGTATGTCATCGTATCTAGATGGTGTGGACCATTGTATGTCATCGTATCTAGATGGTGTGGACCATTGTATGTCATCGTATCTAGATGGTGTGGACCATTGTATGTCATCGTATCTAGATGGTGTGGACCATTGTATGTCATCGTATCTAGATGGTGTGGACCATTGTATGTCATCGTATCTAGATGGTGTGGACCATTGTATGTCATTGTATCTAGATGGTGTGGACCATTGTATGTCATTGTATCTAGATGGTGTGGACCATTGTATGTCATCGTATCTAGATGGTGTGGACCATTGTATGTCATTGTATCTAGATGGTGTGGACCATTGTATGTCATCGTATCTAGATGGTGTGGACCATTGTATGTCATCGTATCTAGATGGTGTGGACCATTGTATGTCATCGTATCTAGATGGTGTGGACCATTGTATGTCATCGTATCTAGATGGTGTGGACCATTGTATGTCATCGTATCTAGATGGTGTGGACCATTGTATGTCATCGTATCTAGATGGTGTGGACCATTGTATGTCATCGTATCTAGATGGTGTGGACCATTGTATGTCATCGTATCTAGATGGTGTGGACCATTGTATGTCATCGTATCTAGATGGTGTGGACCATTGTATGTCATCGTATCTAGATGGTGTGGACCATTGTATGTCATCGTATCTAGATGGTGTGGACCATTGTATGTCATCGTATCTAGATGGTGTGGACCATTGTATGTCATTGTATCTATCGTATGGTGTGGACCATTGTATGTCATTGTATCTAGATGGTGTGGACCATTGTATGTCATTGTATCTAGATGGTGTGGACTATTGTATGTCATCGTATCTAGATGGTGTGGACCATTGTATGTCATTGTATCTAGATGGTGTGGACCATTGTATGTCATCGTATCTAGATGGTGTGGACCATTGTATGTCATCGTATCTAGATGGTGTGGACCATTGTATGTCATCGTATCTAGATGGTGTGGACCATTGTATGTCATCGTATCTAGATGGTGTGGACCATTGTATGTCATTGTATCTAGATGGTGTGGACCATTGTATGTCATCGTATCTAGATGGTGTGGACCATTGTATGTCATCGTATCTAGATGGTGTGGACCATTGTATGTCATTGTATCTAGATGGTGTGGACCATTGTATGTCATCGTATCTAGATGGTGTGGACCATTGTATGTCATTGTATCTGGAGATGGTGTGGACCATTGTATGTCATTGTATCTAGATGGTGTGGACCATTGTATGTCATTGTATCTAGATGGTGTGGACCATTGTATGTCATTGTATCTAGATGGTGTGACCATTGTATGTCATGGTGTGGACTGTATCTAGTGTGTGGACCATTGTATGTCATCGTATCTAGATGGTGTGGACCATTGTATGTCATTGAATCTGGATGGTGTGGACCATTGTATGTCATGGTATCTAGATGGTGTGGACCATTGTATGTCATTGTATCTAGATGGTGTGGACCATTGTATGTCATCGTATCTAGATGGTGTGGACCATTGTATGTCATCGTATCTAGATGGTGTGGACCATTGTATGTCATCGTATCTAGATGGTGTGGACCATTGTATGTCATTGTATCTGCATGGTGTGGACCATTGTATGTCATCGTATCTAGATGATGTGGACCATTGTATGTCATTGTATCTAGATGGTGTGGACCATTGTATGTCATCGTATCTAGATGGTGTGGACCATGGTATGTCATCGTATCTAGATGGTGTGGACCATTGTATGTCATCGTATCTAGATGGTGTGGACCATTGTATGTCATTGTATCTAGATGGTGTGGACCATTGTATGTCATTGTATCTAGATGGTGTGGACCATTGTATGTCATCGCTATAATAAATATCAACACTAAATGAAAATGTCAACAAAATACTAATTAAGAGTAAGAGAATTATGATTTGCGTTGCACGTGTTGGAAGCGTGAATATTGCGTGCATATGGGGAAGTGAAATCACGCCTGTGCCCGGCAGTTCACAGTATAACAATCAACTTTCGATGACCTGCGAATGTACAGAGAATCGCAGCCGGGTGTCTTTCGATATCAAACGTATCACCACGAGTCGATAAAGTTACAAATATTAGAGGCCTGCCGGGGATATGTTTACTTTTATCAACGAGTGTTGATACATTTCATATCAGAAGGCACGAGGGTGAGATTCTATTTATCATACAAAAATCACTCTTCATTAGTTCAACAATGAAATATCTGAACACAGTACTGCCATTAGACTTACAGTGTGGCGATGGCATAGCATTGTGACGTCATTAAATTCATGACGTCATAGCATTGTGAGGGCATTATACAAAACCTACTGTCAAAATGATATCTCCAAGGACATATCGTTTGATCTATCTACTACGATGTGACCGTGTTCTTGTCTGTAGTCGACATA